CAGGGAGCTGTCGCCCTTAGCTCATTGTCCAACCTGCCATTTCTAGGAAGGTGGATAAGTCACCAGGAGACATCTCTCTTATATGGGTAGGTGTAGGCTAGGACTCGCCGAACGCGTACTCTCGTATTAACGATAACTCCGAGCGTCTTCTCGTTCATACTTTCTACATAGAAGTGTGTCTGCTAGCCGAGGGTGTAAAAGTATTTGCTAAGTTGTCAATGATCAGTTGAAAAACCAACTGTCAAGCGTAGGTTTTTCCTGGTTATTTTTAAGTACTTTTTTAATGGTGACTCTTCAAGGATACTTAGTGTTACCCTGGAAAGTTTACATCTTTTTCCTTCTTCCCATCTTTTTACGGTTTGCGTATGGAAGTGACATTTGACAATTTCCGCAAATATTGTAGTTGACCAACCAAAAAATCTCCAGGTGCTAAGAGTCTTAGGGCTGCCGCCTTCCTAACCAATTGGTTAGCAATGTGGTTGCCTTTATTCCTATTGTGTCCCTTATCCCACCTTAGGATGATGATATTACCATCCAAAGTCTGAGTTAGTGACTCCTGACACTCCATTACTAAACCTGATGTGACACGTGGTCTATTCAAGGTTAGTAGAGCTTGTCTGCTATCTGTGCAGATTATTATAGTTTTTTCTGCTATACCTTTTTGGGTTATCTCTCTTGCGGCTATAGAGATACCATCCAGTTCTGTCTGAAGTACGCTGGAATTTTTGCCCATACCTCACTTTATTCTTAGGTTCAGTGATCTGGAGTATATCCCGCATCCTTAGCCTTCTTTTATTTTGGAGCCATCGGTGTATATGCAATAGGCATTTGCCACGTTTGTCTCCATATACTGTCTTGTTTCGATTTTGTAGGGTTTGATAACGACAAACTTTGGTTCAATTGAATCGCAGCCTGCCTGTAGCAGTAGTAGCGCATCCAGCTCTCCCCGCCAGAAACGAGTTCTCAATTGTCCCATTCCTACATCAAGGTTTGCACCAGCTGAGCGCAGTCGCTTCACTGTCACTAGCGCCAACTTTTTGACATATATATCTAGAGGTGTGATGCCAATGATCAACTCAACTTAACTTTAGATATTTATTCTTTTATCTGTTGGGGAAATAAGTTTGTTCTTTTATGAGGAAAAATCTTTGATTTATAATAACATAATCAATCTTCTATAAAACTAAGCCAAATGAATAGTATATAATATCTGTAGATAGAAAATCAAAACCAGTAGCAAGTTTTCACAAATTGATTTATTAAAGAATAATAAATTGGTCTAGACAATTGATTTAATTTATAAATATTTAATTATTGCTCTATTGTTATTATTATTTTTTTAATTGCTGGATGATCCATGATAATCGAACATAGGTATAGTTTTTTGTGGTTTTCTGTTTACAGTAAGACGATGATTAATTAAATAACAAACAATTATCAACAAGTCTACAAAAAATTACGAAACATCAATATCTCGTAGGTTAATAAAAATTATTTCTTATAAACAACATCCAAATGAGATAAAATTTTACTCTTGCTCAATTATCACATATCACCTAGCAATCTTATAATAAAATAATAACAAAGGAGCAATAAATAAAAAACATAAATTAAATCAATTGACTAATCAAGACTAATTTAACATTCTTTAATAATTAAATTTATAAAAACTTGGTACTGGTTTTGCTTTTATATCCGCAGAGATTATATACCATTTAGTTACTTTAATTATAATTTTATGCTTTAACGCAATTTAATATACAGAGTGGACCTACAGTATGGAATCGTCTAAGTACCTAAACGGCAAGTTTTAATTTGAATACTTTCAATGTTGCCAGATTCACCATTTCAGATCTGATATCATTAGTCACTTTGGTTAAATACAACGCTCTGTATATTGTTTTAATATTGAAACCATTACTTCAATGCAATTTAATCATATCTAACACGTGGTATTTTACCTAATAACGAAGGTCTTAACCCCTTCTTAGTCGCCAGGAATTTAGGATCGCAAGATCGAAAAGGCTGCTTCGTCTTTTACTTCTAAGCTTATGTAAATAAAAGTATTTGAATTTGGTTTAAGTAAAACACTATTTTATTAAGATTTAATTAGTATAGTCCCATGTTACAAAATAATATAAAAAGTAAAGTTATGTTACGAACACTAGACAGAATACTAAAAGAACTATTAAAAAAAAAAGGAAACTTTTAGTTATTCCCTAAGTTCAGTTTGGCACTCTTCGCATACTGCACGTGTATGCTCTCTGTACAAAATGTTTTTAGATCTACAGCATGAAATAATCGTTTTCCGGTTCGGACGGTAGCAAAAGTAGCGCATTTACCAGGTACTTCTCCATTCGTTATAATGTCTTATGTATTAGGATCATTAAAAATAGCTAAATTAAATAATTGCTATCGACACATTTAACTTCATCTTTCCTCACTAGAGGTCTCTAGTAGAATAATCTGTTAATTGTTTTTCTAAAATTTACCAGAGTAGACGATGCGTTTTGATTTGGTTTGAGTCTTTTTACAAACTCTCTCTGATGATCTTAGTATATTAAAAATAGCCTTAATAGATAATTTTAGTTAAGTTTTTAACTCTCGCTTCGACTCAAAGATGTTTCCTCATAAGAGAAAATGCTAAAAGCTTCAAAAATGTTCAGATCAGCTTTTTATTTTCAGCAGGGTTGTTACTTGTATACACCAGCGATTTTTGCATGCAATATTTATTAGGTATCTTGTTAAAAATTACCAGGGGCTAATGTCTTTTCGCAAAACATCATAGAAGGAGCTAATCAACGATGTCAACTCCGCCTTTTGTATTATTATATAACAATACAATTTCTTGTTTATAATGTCCTACTTGAATTCTCTTTTTTATATATACAGTTTCATTTCTTCTGTTGATTAGTATTCTCAAATATTTGAATGTTTCAACTTCTACGAAACTGTGCATCTATTGTCAGTTCTATCATTTATGATCATATATATATATATATATATATATATATATATATATATATATATATATATATATATATATATATATATGAACGTTCATATATATATATATATATATATATATATATATATATTATATATGTATATATAACAAGCGAGTATTCTACATCTTCTAGAGCTGGCGCCGCTTCTCGCCTCCTAATTTCCAGCGTTTTCTGTCGAAGCAAATCTTCAGTTGTTAGATCTCTGAATGTTGATACTACATATACCTAATATTTTTATGGATACATAAAGTTTGTTTTATATATTTTTATTTTGTTTTTTTATTCTTTTATTATCTCCTTGTTTTTTTTTATTTGCTTTCTTTTTTTTTGTGGTATTGCCCTTTTTTGTTTTTTAGTGTTTTTTGCTATTTTTGTTTTTTTTTTGTATTTTTTTGTTTTTTGTTTAATTTCCATACATTGGTGGTGGTATACATTTTTTTGTGTTTTTTTTTCAAACCATATTAACAGCTTATGCCTATATACTATTTACAACTTGTAATTACATATTTTAACATGTTTGTAAATGAAATGAAGAATTTCATTTACAAAAGAAACTACACGTAATTAATTCCTTATAAAGTTCGTTTATATTATTAATTTGTAAATCACATTCTAATATAATATGTGTCAGGTCGCCTATTTTGGCACAAGGAAAATTGGGATTATTTGATAAGCCGATTCCATTACAGTCTTTGTCTACTAACGGTGTCAATATCTGTCTTTGGAATTAAATTTTTGTTTACTTTTTCTCCAAGCATATATTTGCTGATTTAGCTAAATTGTCAACGATATAGTTTTTATTCCCGAATGGCCCTGGATCCATGTAATTATTACATTTAATCCTAATTGTATAGTTTCATACAGAATTTTAAGAATTTTCAGTTCAATGTGGTTTATAAGTTTGACAGTTTGTTAAATCTGTCGACCACGCTTTTACTGTCAGTAAATATAACATAGTTGCTAGTCGGATTCAGTACTACATATTGAAGAACAAACAGTATTGCCATCATTTCTGCTGCGTATATTGAGTATTCACTATGTAAGCTATACTGGTGATGATAATTTTTATTTTCGTGGAACATTACACAGCCCGTTCCATTTGCATCTTTTGACCCATCAGTAAAAATGTACTGATAATTTGTCTATTTTTCTTTAATAATTATATCAAAAATATTTGAATGTAAATGTGAGTTTAAGTAACATATTTTAACCTTTCTAGGAAATAATGTTATTGCCATTTCACCGCGGTAGGGCGGAATTTGGCTTTTATAAAGAATATTATTACATTTTACCGTACTTAGCTTTCTACCAAAGGTATAGATTTTTCATTTGCGGTACCTATAGGTGAGGTCTAAATCTGATAGCTCATGAAGATCTTGAAGGTACTTACAATTTTTGGACATAATTCGAATGGTAAATTTGTCGCTAAGGAATTGGCGGCGTAAATGCAATGGAGGTTCTACCGCCTCATTTTTCATTATTTGGACTGGAGTGGATTTTGCTTTGCCCAAGATTTTGTTCTCTCCGATCTTCCTTGCAAGATGACATGTAGAAGAAAGATTTATCGTTGCGATTCACTTTATCAATTTACGATACTACAACTTGAACCTGACTAAGTTTAACAGTTTATCACACTAAATGTTTATGTAGCAAAAAAATTATATTCTCCATAAATGTGATCAAACAACGTGTATTTAAACTTTGACAGTTATTTGACAATCCGAAGTTTACTTTAATTAGGTATAACAATTTTAATATGTTTATATTTTTTTAATAAAATATATTTGTTAAAAGAAATATCATAAAAACGTGAATACAATATCAAACTGACTAGAGTTGACGTATTTCAAAATAAATGTTAACAGTCAATAATTAGAAATAGAAATAAACAGCTTAAATAGCTTTAAAGGTATTTAATAAGTAAAGAATAGGAAGACTTTTAAAATTCTCAAATGTTTCTCAATATGAAATATGTTATAAATATATACATACATGCCCATGGTCCAAATTTTTTGACAAGTGATGTTTCTTCAGTGGATATAAACAATGGAGCTAACAAAGCTCTGCAAGTTTGTAAAATATTCCATATAGAGTCTAGTAGAAAGGAGACAAGCACTATTAATCCAATTGCGGCCAATGGCAAAGTGTAGAAATCCCACATTTCTTCTGAAACTGAAATAAAAGAGTTGTAAAGTTATTAGACACACCAGCAACATATTTAAAAATTCTTTTAAAAATCACAATCTAATTTATTTTATAAACATGAAGCCCATATTTTATATATACATTGTAATAGTTTATAGGCTTTAAAGGGGTAAATCAGAAACATGCCGTGTACAATTCACATAAGAAATTTACTTACAATAAAATACATTCATTTAACCTGAAATACTGATATAAAAATTTAAAGTATATCCTGACGAGTTTAAAAATCTAATTATTTTTGAAGTAATTGTGCAAGTATATTAATTGAATATAAAGGAGCTAATAGATATCTTTTATCTCTAACTTAAGGAAGACATTGTAACTAAAATAAAGCAATGCAGAGTTAGATGGTTAGGTCACATCTGGCGAGCAGGCGATGAGGCAGTGACATATTCAATGATAGAATGGAATCCAGGAGGAAGAAAGAGAAGGGGAAGACCGAGATCAAAGTGGCTGCAAGAAGTTGAAGAAGACCTCCAAAGGGCAGGAGTCAGTGAATGGAGAGGAAGAACTAGAGACAGGAAAAAATGGAGAGATATTGTCAATAAGATAAGATAAAAAAAAAAGACTGATCCACTTCAGAAATAGGATCTAGAAAGCATTTGCGGTTTAACCCCACGTTGGGGTGTATAGCCATTATATATATATAATAGATATCTTTTAGATTGTAGAGTCTGCTCAAGTTTCGTACTATCTCGACCTGGCCCATGGTAGTCAATTTTCGAAAAAAAAATTTTAAATTATGCTGGTAAACCACCGTTACGATTTTATCAGCAGTAACGGGCAGTAGAGCTATTATGGCTACAGTTTGATCAACGTACGACTAAAGTATATATTATTGTTTGTTTTACTACTGTCATCGCCAGCTAACTTGGCGGTGCGCACAAACCCAAAATTGCTTAGTGGCTAGGTGGTGGTCTTTAGTCTCCTCCCAGTTATCAGGTGCGTAACACTTAAGTGATTTGCGGCTATTATTTTTCAGACTTCGTATTATTTCGGATACTTAAGTGTATTTGTAACAATTTCTAACGATGGCATTGAAAAATAGTAGAAAAAATAATTTTGTTATTAGTGGAGAATCTCGGGAGATTATATTTAATGTGTTTATCAGTTATCAGTTGCGTAACACTTAAGTGATTTGCGGCTATTATTTTTCAGACTTCTTATTATTTCGGATAGTTAAGTGTATTTGTGACAATTTCTAACGATGTCGTTGAAAAATAGTAGAAAAAATAATTCTGTTATTAGTGGAGAATCTCGGGAGATTATATTCATGTGTTTAATTATTTCAAAAGCGACATTCGCAGAATAATTTACGATTTTTATAAAACAGAAAAATGTCGGGTTACGGTAAAAAAATTAAAACAACAAATTCACAACGATTTGGATATCACAATTTCACAAACATCTTTAAGGCGACTTTTACGCAAAATGCAATTTCGTTGGAGGAAAACCGAAAACAACTGAAAAGTGCTTGTAGAAAAAAGTGCAATAAGAGCTTTGATAATAAAATATCTCAGGCAAATCAAATATTTTCGGAGTCAAAATAGGCCAATCGAGTATGTTGACCAGACCTACTTACACAGCGGTCATACTTCTTCAAAGAACTGGACTGACGAATCAACCAAGGGCTTATTTTCAAATATTTCCAAAAGTCAACGACTAATAATAGTGCATGCCGGTGGGGATATGGGATTTATAAAAAATGGCTTATTAATCTTTAAATCAGGTTCAAAATCAGGAGATTACCACTCTGAAATGAATTCAGACAACTATGGAAAGTGGTTACAAGAACATTTATTACCTAATTTACCTGCTGTTATCGGTATTAGTTTTTGATAACGCACCTTATCACAGCATTCAGTTGGAGCGGGCGCCTACGTCAAACTCAAACAAAAATCAAATGATAGAATGGTTAATGCAGAAATATATTTCATTTACACCCAGTGCTTTAAAACCTGAACTGTATGAAATAATTAAATATCATAAACCTCATCATGTAAAATACAAATTCGACGAAATTCTACGTGCGCATGGCCATATTCCTTTACGTTTACCTCCTTACCATTCTGACCTAAACCCTATTGAACTAATATGGGCTACAGTCAAAAATAATATGAGGCAGAAAAACGTTACATTTAAGCTAGCTGACGTACAAAAACTCGCCGAGGAAGAATTCACTAATATTGATGCAAATGAGTGGAGAAATCGATGTTACCATGTCATTAAGAAATAAGATGAGTATATGGACAGCAAAATAGTTGCTGATAACGCCACGAAAATAGCTCCAATTATTATAGATCTTGACAGTGACTCTTCCAGTACAAAGTTTTCTTCTTCCGAAGATGAAAATGAAGAAAATTATTAACAATCCCTTTATTTTCAAATAGATACCACTTTTCAACACGGGTACTTGTTTTAGTATTATAATAAAACCAAAATATTAAAATTAAATAATTACTGTGTTGCATTTATTTATACAATATCCTCCATTTAATTTGAAACACAATATCAACGTAGATTTGTGAATTAAATTCAGTCATTATTGTGTAATTTGTTTACTAAGTTAAATAAATATTATAAACCAATGGCTTACTATTTAAATTAAATAAACCAAAATTACAATTTCATCTTTCTAATAATATATTAAAGCTTGCGAAAAATATTACTTTTTTAATAAAATTGTGTAATAATTAGTTGACGTATACCTCTACGCTACTGAATATACTTATCAGAAATAGTAAACCAATAGGATGAATCATAGGGCGTAAACATAATTTATTTCTCTGTGACGTTCTGCGTACTCTCTCGCCAAGTTAGCTGGCGATGATTGTACAATGTTACAAACCCAATATAGAATGTGTTGTTTTAAGCACGACATTTTTTTCATGAGGGTGTCTGATCCAAACGTCTTATAATACGATCCATGAGAACCAAAATATACATTGACGATTATGGACTAGAACAGGTTATTTTAGTTAACAAGGATATTCCATTCAAGTCTCAGGAAAGATAGTGAGAAACATGTACGGGCTTCTTTGGTCTTCTTAAAAGAAGAAGAATGCTATTTATATTCCTATATATGTTATTATGAAAGCAACTAAAAACGCAGAACATCCAGCAAAGAAGTACGTCATTTTGACCTTTCGAACAATTCTTTTTTGTCAGAAACTATTAATCTTAATATTACTAGAGTTTAAATTACCAGTATTTTGCTATTTTTTTATAATGTACGATTTTAGCACAAATGTTTATTAAACAAATGTTGTGCTTGGGACCCTTGAACTATTATATAGCCAATATAATAAATAATAATTATAGCCAATAGAATATTGTCAGTAAACTTATAATATTCGTTATATATTATAGAATATGTAGCTTATGAATATGAAAATGTAGCTTAAATTTATTTTATCAATGGGCACAGAGTAACTGAGACACATTCATTTAAAATAACTAAATTATTATGAACAATCAGGAATCAGTTAAGCATTATTAAAAACTCTGTCATTCTTAAAAACTAAAAACAACGAATAATTTATAATTATCCAACTCTACACAATTGTCAGTTGCAAAGTCATGAGCCACTGCGACAATAAAACACACTTACATCGTAAAGTGTGGCAATCACGTTGAATCTGATTATAATCCTAACTCTTACATCACTTTTAACAATCGTTAACTGAAGAATGGAGAAAGTGTTTCCATATATCAGATGTAACAACAAGGTAATGATGTGTGTATGCGTAAGCAGATTCAAAACCTCAAGAAGCAGTAATATAACTTTACGATTTTAAAAATAAGTTTTATAATTTTAAAATATTGAATACCGTGACCTTTAGTTTTACTGATTCCTCAGCTAATCGTTGTAACTAAAAGAATTTGTTGTTTAGCTATTTTTGTTTGCTGATAGGTATATCATAAAATGCAAATGTATTATTATTTTTTTATTGGAATTTACGTGTCTCGACAGCGTAGGTCACTAACACAGCTACAATTTTATTATATTTGCTTTACTATTTTATTATCTTTATTTTACAATTACTAGAATACACAGTTTTTTTGGCTTCGATACTTGGTCATTTTGTCAGTCGTTATATAAATCTTTAAGTACGAAACTTACAGGAGAAAGGAAAAAAACTGAATCACTCGCTTCTCAAGTAGCTCTCCGTCAGAACATTTTTATGATAGACAAACTACAATCAGGCCAGTAATAAATTATATTAAGCAATAGGTTAAAATAGAAATGCTAAAACACGCCTATTATGACTTAATACAATAATTACAAGAAAAACTTTATTAAAATATGCTTAATGGATTGAAAAATATCGAGTTTTTGGGAAATGAACTACTTAAGCTCCAAACTCAATAGAGGAAACAAAAAGACCCAAATAATTATAGAAAAACATATGTACGTCGCACCTGCTGAATGTACGCTCTATGCTCATGTACTAATATATTGTCTATCAAACAGCACATAGAAAAATAAATAATGTCCAATGTTAAATTGCACATTGTATTCGTAGACCCCCAAAAGGCCTATGATAGTGTCTCAGTCAACAGCCTGTAGAAAACAATGCAGTAGATAATATCTAAACTGCTTAGAATCGTCTAAAGTCGATAAAAGACTTCGACAGATAAGGATATTGCCTGTCAACAAACTTATTTAAACTTTATACAGCTAAAGCACTATTGGAACAAGTATTTCCCCACCAGGTGGGGTAATATCGCCTAGCTAGTGGGACAACATCGTGCATATTATTTAAGCTGAAAAAGTAACAAAAAATAAAAATAATTGAAGACATTTTTAATAAAATTAGTAACAATCTAACACATTATTAATATAAGCAATATGTTTTTTAAATATTTAATTAAAATAAACACCGTTTTATTACCGCTGCTTTCTTAATATTTTATTTGCACATATCGCATTAAAAACCCCCAGCTGACTCCCAACAACTACAAGTTG